ACATCCATTAATAGTGCTGGCTGCGAAAGCCAATCTCTGGGAAATGGTACTGCTGCTGTTGGGTATAGGGACATTAGTGACGCACTGCAAAGTTCCTAGAGAGCGCGCGTTGGTGTACGCGCCAAAATCCGGCCAGACAGACGCCACGCGAGAGCTGCTGAGTCGCGGGGTCCAATCGAACCTCGCGCAGGTGCACTGGGGTCTTTGGAACGCAAAGAGCGCCGCAGTGGAGTGGGCCTGCGTGGATGAGGTGCCCGACAGTGTGCGTGGAGCTCCAGGAGGGTTTAGACTCATGAACGCCGCGATCCACGGACGGTTGCAGCCAATGATCGCATTCCTAGAAGCGGCTGTCAATGTCAACGGCGTTGATAACACTAGCTTAGGCTTTGCCGCTAGGAATGGGCGCATCGCATCTGTCGAGGAGCTCTTGAAGCGATGCGCCGACACCAACGCAAGTGACGAGGACGGAAACACTCCTATCCATGACGCTTCCTCTCACGGCCACGTAGCCATGTTGGACGCCGAAGCGAGTACCAAGGAGAAGAATGCCAATGGAAAGACTCCCCTCGAGGTTGCCAAATCAGACGCTATGCGCACAGCCTTCAAAGTTGCAAAGTAACTTCTACCTACGTGTATGTTTATATTTCCAGTTCATGCAAGTAGTATCCTGCCTGAAAAATAATAGGCACCATAGTTAGGAACTTCGAGATACATTGACAGTATTATCTTAAGAAGGGAATATGTGTCCACTTAAAAAATTAGTCTTATCATATGTACTGCTTTAGAGTTGCATCGATCGAAAAAATAAACGTATCTATTAATAACTATATACCAACAGCGTTACTCACTTCTATGTATTTTTGTATTTGTTAAAATGTAACAAATATTAAAAGTTAAATGGTCCACGGGGAGACCCCTTATCAATGCACAGTAAACGCCCTATTTTTAAGTCAACTACCTTCGGTGTTCATCTAAGAGTGGCTGTTGCAGAAAACGTAAGTGGAAACGAGTCGCAAGAATTGCAAAGAAAAGTGCTATGTTATGAATGAATTTCAGTTTACATTTTTAAAAACCTGATACGTTAGTAACAAATGATTTGCAGATTTGAATTCAGCATGCCGAAAAGAGGCTGTTCCACTTCCTTCTGTGAACTCATCGCCGGATACTATTACCACACAACGTTTTAAACAACTTTTATACGAGAACTTCCAGTGCAGGAAATTTACAAAAAAAAAAGTGATTTATCGCTTTCATAAAGCACGTTTCAATATAACTGTAGCATGACAATACGACAGTGTTGAAAATTGAACAAGACATCAAAATATTTTCGGTTTCATGTGTAAAGCATTTTTAACAATATACTCTAACAACATATTTAACATTATATCACTAACATTGCAAATTACTTCTTCGGGGAATGTAGAGGAAATCAGGAAGTGTGGAAAAATAGGGAAGCACTTTCTTTAATAGCCGGACGTTGATAAAAATAATTTTTTTGCACTCATGTATGAAAATGTTTATTAATCACAGAGTTACTTTGCGGTACGCGGTTTGGCAAAATAGACTTTACAGTATGCATACCACAAAGAAAGACATTGACATATAAGAGTCCTGCACAGAAAACAAATAGAGGCAGTATGAATCATGGCTGCCACCTAACATATTGAAAATGATCCCAACTACAAGCTCTTTAAAAAAATAATGTAAGCAAACTCATACAAAATTGTCTTTGGTGTACTCGTTTCAAAATGCCAGACTCTGCTCCCATCGTTACCTTGACCATCAACATTTCATTTCTTCATCAAAGACTCACTTTCTGTACTAGTTACTACAGTGAAATCTCAGTACGTTCATACTAGCGGAACCCGGCAGACGTTGTTCTGCCCTTCATCTCCCTCATTATCCTTCCCTCTCCCTTTCTCTCCCTCTCTGTCCCTGTCTGTCAGACAGTCAGACAGACAGACAGACAGACAGACAGACAGACAGACAGTCAGTCAGTCAGTCAGTCAGTCAGTCAGTCAGTCAGTCAGTCAGTCAGTCAGTCAGTCAGACAGTCAGTCAGTCAGTCAGTCAGACAGTCAGTCAGTCAGTCAGTCAGACAGTCAGTCAGTCAGTCAGACAGTCAGTCAGTCAGTCGGTCCATACCCCTCCCTTTCACCATGTCTCTCTAGTGGAGTTACAACAAAATTAACAGCACATAAACCTTCTGGATGAAAAAACACCTGGATGTGCCAACTTTCATGGAGATCGGTCACACGGTTTCGGAATCGGTTTCGGAATTTACAGTTCTTATATACTAAGATTTATTTAGCCATGCACTTGTCGTAAATCATTTGTTCACAGCTCAAACGTCTCCATATGACGTCACTGTAGCGACATATAAGCTCCAATTGTATGAAACCGCAACAGCCGATTTACTCCAAGTTTGCCATGGTTAAATAGTTAAAATTAAGCGTATAATATATACAACATTCATTTAATACGAGGGACGTTCAATAAGTTATCTACACATCGAGATCCTTAAGCATTTCTTGGAGAGCTGTCGTGCAAGTAAGTTGACATGTCTGGCTACCTCAATACGAAATCAGTCTGCCTAAGTTATTGATGTGAGAAAGATGCAAGTGCAGTGCCGAACAGACCGATTTACGTCAAGTGTCATGGTTAAATGGTTACAGATTAGACGTACTATATATACCAACATCCATTTATATACGAGGGACGTTCAATAAGTTATCTACTACCTCGGATCCTAAGGCATATTTTGGAGAGCTGATCGTGCACAGGTTCAGAGAAACATGAAAAAATGGTGCATGAGCGACGATTTCCTGATGATGGAAGCAGTTTAAGGAAGCTGTAATGGTATTCTGGACAGTCAAAAGATGTATCTTCATTTCTGAGGGTATTCATTCACTGGAGTTGGAGTGTCAATGGGGACTGCACTGAAAAGTAATGAGCTAGGTTTCAAATATAAAATTGTATATTCATGCTCATGAAGATAACGTATTGAATGCCCTCTGTGAATTGTACCCATATATATATATATATATATATATATATATATATATATATATATATGACATCCCGTTTAAATGTCACAATGTACAGATATTTCACTTTTACGAACTCTATTCGGACCGATTTCAATATTCGCAATAAAAATGTGTGGAGTATTTTTTTTAATACGTTAATTTCTATTGAATCTGCTGTTGTCCCCAGATTTTCAATATATGTATTTCGTAACATTTCCTTGTCCTCTGTCCCAACTCGTGATCTTTCCACCATGTACGCAATGAGCAATGGATAACATATCAATACTACATGTCAAGCGAATTCGTGAAGACAAGACCTAGTACGCCATAATCACAGAAGAGAGAAGCAATTGTTGCAATTTCTGGATCACGTGATGGTGAATCTCCACTTCTTGATTTCGAATATTATGATTTTCCGGAAATTCATTTCATGTCTTGTTAATGGTAGTGAACGCTCTGTTTGCAAAAACACGTGTTGGGGTTGTTACAGTGTTCATAAAAATATACGACCTGATTTAATTGCAATGAAAATGAAGAAAAGGAGACAGTTCAAAGCACATACTTTCTCGCATTATTTCTATCAGCACCGATATATTACACTTCTACATAAACCTCCAATCAGCAACATTTTTTCCGCTCCGAGACCCGATCACAGATCCTCAAGAGTTAACTTGCCGTCACCTATATCATACTCCATCATAGCGCCGCATGCATTGAACTCGGGCACATACATGAATCCGTAAACGCTCTCTTCTTGTAAAAATCCCTCTAAAGTCAAAATATCCATTTGAAACTCCCATTGACCCGAGTCGTTTTGTCGTCAATTGATTTTTCGGTATAGAGGAGCCATAAAACATAGATTCTGGCACCACGTGTTAGAGGATTTTTTTCTATAGCAACAGGATTTATCCACTTTTTCGTTAACAGGGCCCTACAATACGTTTTTCTGACGAAAATTCTTCATTTTCCGGCACACTATTTCCGGTTCGGCACAATTTACATAAATTCAAAAATTACAGACAGACATTTCCGGTTAATTTATCTGTACTGATTGTTCTTCAAATTATTTTCAATAAAGTTTTTTTTTTCTCAATAGTTTTCTGAGACACTGTGACAAATAATACGTCCTGGGCGTGACTCTAACCCGCGACCTTTTGCACCGAAGTACTGAATCCGTACAAGCCATTTAACCATCTCGTCCATCCGGGGCGGAGAGGGCTTTTACACTTCTGTATGATTCTTAAAGACATGATTGTTTCAGTTCTAGCATTACGGCGCCGAAAAAATTACGAAATGTGAAAAAATGTCCTCTAGGTGGCAAAAGATGGCAGCTGAGAAGGCATAACCGAAAAGCTAGTTCAGACTAAAGAGATTAGAAAACTAATTAGTGCGAGAAAGTCTGTGCCATTTTATAGCACCTCTCATACGTTGTCACACAGGAAGAGAAACTAAATGAAAAAATTTCGTGAGAATTTTGAGAAAATATTTTTAATAGCATACATTTCAAGCTCAAATTTCGAAAAACTACTCATTTGTTTTTCGAAAATTGTTCATGACTATTTTTAAAGAGCTGATTTTTTATAATACACATTGTTTAAAGTAAACATCGTCATCTCCAATTTTGAAATTTTGAAAACAAACTTTTTGCAATTTTTGGAAAAAAACGGAACAATAGCCGAGAATGGGACTAGCACCAAATTTTTACTGTCGCTTATTACATATGAGGAGAAAATTAAGAGAAGAAATTTGGAGCGGTTTTTGAGAATAAATTGATAGTACATCGATTACATTTTTTAACTTGCCTTTATTTCCCCCGAAAGTACACGAAAATTATTCATATTTTCGAAAAATTGAACATGAATTTATTTAAAGGTCTGTCTTTAAGGAACAGATTTCATTAAGAAAAAGTCTCTAACTTCATTATTATAGTTTTACGAAGACGCTCCCAAAAAATTGCACTTTTGCAGTCTTCAAAAATTTAGGAATTTCAACGAACCTGAGACCGGCATCATTCTCTTAAGTGTCCTTTACGCCATCCGTAGACAAGACCTGATAAAAAAGATGGTGCCATTTTTTTAAAAAAATATTGAAATTGTTTTGAGACTTCTTGTAAAGTACCCTCAAAAATCAAAATATCCGTTTGAAACTCTCAAAGCCTCGAGTTCATTCAGATCGATCGCGGAATATCAATTTTGGAAAAAATCGGATAAACGGTTTAAGCGTTAGCGTTGACCGCGGACGGACAGACATACTTTTGCTTGTAATCCATTTTCCGGTATTAAGGACCCACAAATTATTAATTCTGACCACACATGTTTTATCCACTTTTTCGTTACCAGGGCCCGGTAATAAGAGTTTTCCTGCCGAAAATTAGCTGTTTTCCGCTGCATGATTCCATAACTTACTCTTCATATGAAGTAGTTCGTAAGGGCGAGAAAGTAAAAATAAATAGTGGGATGAAGCAGGTTGATGTAGCACATGTATATAACACGATGACAACTTCAGTTTCACTTTAAAACGCAATAACAATTTAAAAAAACGAAGGAACAATCTGCGATGTGCCCCAATAGAAAGAAGATTCGCTTAGGACAGGGTTGTCCAACTGAGTGGCCCGCGAAAGGTGGTTAGAGCGAAGTGAAGGTAACCAGCATCCATGTCGGGCGAGAACGTTGTGCGCTCTACCGGGTCAACACCCCCTTTATTCAAAAATAGGTTTTTCAGATTTTATGATTTTTTTTCTAGTAAATTCAGAAACTCATAATCATCCCAATGTATTTCACTGCGTTATGCACGGCACGGCCTGATATAATGCATGGTTCCTCCCCCCTCTTCGTTTCAGAGCAACAGGGGCAACGAACAACGCAACAGCTTCTTGAGTTGAACAAAGATATTAGAAAATACAAAAGAAAAATCCTGTTGTTGGTAGATAATTGCTCTGCTCATAAAGTAAACAGCAGGTTGGGAAATATCAATATTGGATTCCTCCCTCCCAACTGCACTTCTGTACTGCAGGCACTAGACTCGGGAATTATTCATAATTAGGAATTGGATTTCAATGAAATGCCATTCTTTTTTCTTTTACACTTTAGAACAATGCCATTTCAGAAATTAATTTTATATTATGAGAAAAAGAAATTACCCATTTTTATATGTCTTTTTTTGTTTTTTTGTTGATTGACTAAGAAGTCATTTTTTACTCTTTTCCTTAATTTTTAATGCATTTGTTTAGCCGATTTCATCGTTTTAACACAAGAAGGACAGTGATTATCCTTCTACCTAGTAGGACGAACCCGTCATTTCAAAGGGTACAAATTTTTGTAGTGTTATCATCAATACAATCGTTACGATAGCTTCACTATGCACACTTTTGTTGAACTCTCCTTTTGCTTGTAGTGGTAGCAGGTAAGGGCGCTTACTATTTTGTTAGCAATGCAGAAAATCAAATCTACAGCTTGTTTACTAGCAAAACCGTTTTTTGTAACTCGGGAACGAAAATGTCTAGTTTTCCAAATGTCTCTTCACTCACGCTTTTTTAAATTTTATTTTTATTTATTTACTTATCTTTAACTTTTACTTGTCTTTCAATTATTTATAGTTATAATGATGGGAAGGGATTCTGGAACTCAAGAAAACTTGCGCAGATTATCTTCTCCCCCATACCTCACACAGTTTTGACGGTTTTTTGACTAAATAAATCTAAATAAGGATTTTAACTCCAATTTCTGAATTGTTAAAGAATGTCAATGTTGTGCTAAAATTTTTCTTACATAGATAACCATGGATGCCTATAACAATAGATAACATTAATATTTAACAAAAATTAAAATTATTTTATCTTGTAAAGTTCTTGATCCTCAATAAACTTTAAATAATCAAATCCTTCATAGCTTCAAAGCATCAGGCACAAGAATAAAAGGTGTTTCCATATTTGTTACTGTGCTTGCCGATCCTGGACTTGTTCTTGCCTTTACATCCTCCTATATGGTAGGTCTTGCAAATATCACCACTCTGAAGAATGTGGATTGCTTGGGCTTACGTAGGCAGATCTGGTCTTGTTCACATTCTTTACGTAATTTTTCTCTGGTTTTAGGTCATTTTTAAAACATTTTAAAAGCATTTCAGGTCATTAAAATACGCCCCCTATTCATAATGAAAAGGTCTGCTATCAGAAAAGACTGGTTCAGCAGATAACTAATAAACTTTAGATTGAAAGTTTCAACCAAAATCAACATTGTGCAAAAGATACAAATGTTAGGAGGAGGTTGGTGGAATGTGAAAGCAACAACAATTACTAATTGTTGAAGAAAGTCAGGAATTTTGTATTTTCAAATAAAGTGCTTTGCCAGAGGTTGTGGCTTGTGAAGATCATTGTGAGGTGTGGGAACAAATTGCAAAGGAGTTAGAACTTCCATCATCTGCAACATTTGATGATTATGTTAATATTGATGCTGGGACTGAAACGAGTCACTGCCTCACAGAGTGATGTTGAATCTTTGACTACATCATAAGAAAATAATGAAGAGGAAGAAGTAGAAGAAGAAACAAAATTACACAGAGGCAGTGAAGTGCCTTGAAACATTAAAAGTGTATATGGAGAAAAATATAAATGTTCCAGAGACAATATTCAAATCATTAAGTGAGGTAGAAGAGTTTGTGGAAAGCAACTCACTCAAAAAGACAAAACAAACTTCCATCACAGAATATTTTAATGAGTGATGCATTGTTTGTTTGTTTTTTCATTATTTTTGTGTGTTGGGAAAACTATTCAAAATAAATTACATACAATTGTGTTTTCAGTAAAATGATTTTATGACCTACTTTATACTGAGATTTCACTGTATTTCTGTTTTGATGTAATAAAACTTAAGGATCATCTCTTAATGATAGAACTTCAGAATTAGAAAACAGTTTTTCTGTCAGGTTTATTAAGTTAAACAAAACACTTCAGGTTTACCCTATTTTCCCCTACATAGATAAATTTCATTAATTGAAAATACTGCATATTCTCAATTTATTAATTTTCAACATGAAACCCCCGACATCGTGAAGTCAAATCTGTTTTTGCTAGTTTTGCCCAGCCCTGGCTTCACGTTGAAATTATTGTACTTTTTTTTTTTGGCATTTATATTTATACCTAGATACCCTACTGGGCTTGATTATCTAGACTCAAAGAGATCCTTTCACAATGTGTTTTTTCACTCACCACACACTAACCAATCTTCTGGACACTACACTATTGGCCTGATGTCACTTCCCTACATTCTCCAGGGACCGGGTGCCTACAAAACAAATACAACAAGAATTGAGACATACTTTCATCTTACATTGCTGCTTTTTAGATTACAATGCAAATTCTTTATGGTTTACCTTAGTGTCCTCATTTTTTGTATATATTTTATACATTTTCACAGCTAACCCCAAGTTTAAGTCCTATAAAAGAAAGGGAAAAAGAAGTCAGGTAACATCAATTAGACTTTATCATATTTTTCATAATGATTATGCCAAATTCTAATGATAATGATCATAACAACAACACCAACACAAACAACAACAATAATAATAATAATAATAATGCATAGGTGATAATTATTAAATACCTAAGCAATCTTTATGAATATATAAATACTTCAACTACTGTTATTGATTGAGGTCATGTGTTGAGCATTCGGTAAAGTCGACTGACATGTAAATGGCACATCATTTGTCCATGATTAGGTTCTGACATGTCGTCAAGCAAGAATACTATTGATAAACGACATACATTTGTTAATAATAATGAGAAACAGAAAACCTCGACTAAAATCAATATTAGAAAACTTCTGAACAAATAAAAATTGTGTTTACACTGAAGGCCATGTGAACAAAGCAGTATTAAACTTCATTAAAATCATAGAGGATGTAATAAATACTTCAAAAATTACATAAATGTAACTCTAAAAGTAAGCCTAGGAAACCATGGGTTACAAAACCAATGATTAAATATTGCAAAATTAAGAACTGACTGTTCAAATATTCAAAAACACATTCCTGTGGTAAGGAAATTGAAAGCAGGGAACTCTTTTCACGTGGGCAATATTTGCCCATTCTAAGAATTACTCAGGGCCGAAAATACCTTGGTATTGCTAAGGTAGCTGATTTCGAAAAACAGTTCCACTGTGAAAAAGATCTCTATCAGAATATCTGTTTTGAAAAACTTCTGTGTGATGAAGATGCTAGTTTGTTCGCAAAAACATTTTGAAAATGCTTTTTCAATGTCACGGACTGCGAAAATTGTGCATTTCTGTCAAAACTCAAAATTGATTTTTTGCAGCAATAAGTAACTTTCTCTATATTACACAGAAATTGAAATCTCATTTCAAATGGATCTACCACTCATTTCAGAAGTGATCTGCCAGTAATTTAAAAAACTCCATTCATTTACCTCTTGAGAAATTGATGATGCTGCTGGCACTGATCTTTGTACACACGTTGGTGGTGACACCTGCACAGACGCAGGTGTAGAGTTTGATGTTGCAGTTCTGACAGGTTCTACTATTCCCTTGAATGCTGATGACAATGCTTTCACTAAAAGGGGAGATTTTGTTACTGCTTCCATTGACACTGAAGTTTGCACAGGTGCTTGTGCTTGTGTCGGATCTTGCATTGGTGTAGGAGCTATTTGTTGCACTACTTTGGGCAGTAACGGTGGACTGGAAGCTGCTGTTGGATCTAGTGCTTGCACTCGAACTGGTGTCAATGTCTGCACCTGTGCTGGTGCTTGCCCATGTTCTTGTTTTGTTGCTTCTACTCGCATTAAATGTGGTGCTACACTAGGTGCTGATGATGTCCAGGTAGGGGCTTGCAGTGGTCCTGATGCTGATGTTGATGCTTTCACAGGCCCTGAAGCTGGTACAGTTGCAGTTGCATTTGTAACTGGTGTAAGTGGAGTCTTGGCTAATATAGAGCCAAATGCCTAATTTTGAAAACAGAAATGTCAAAACCGTCCTACACACACCTGAATTAACAACAAATATTCCCTCACTTACCTGAAGTGGAGCTGAGATTGTCACAGTTTCAACAGGCATTGCATGATGTAATGTCTGTTAAAAATTCAACATAGCATTACATTTAGCACAGCATTCAAAGGATTCTGATTAACGGAATGCATTTTACTTACTTGTCGTGGGTCTGTTTGCACTGAATTAATGGGACTTATTACCTACACAAGGAAACATTAATTACTACATCTTCAAAACATTTTAATCAAACAGAAATGTTCCTAATTTACCTGGTGAGAGGTTGGAACTGACATCGCTCCTACTGACATCACTGAAACCAAACCCTGAAACAAACATAATAAATCATTGTTAACACCATCAAATCATTTTCATGTTAAACAAATGGCATGTACTGTACACATGTAAGTAACAATGACCCAATCAAATGAACTATAATGAAATTGCCATTAGAAGTCTGCGTTGTATAATCTCTGTAGGTATTTTTGATATCACGTTTTCATTAAAAAATTATTATGAAATAATTAACATTTATAGTCCATAATAAGCTCTATTAACAGACATAGACACAATTTCCTACTTTGTTTCTCCGAGAAAGAAAGAGCGAGAAATAAAGAGAGAGAAAGAAAGAGCGAGAAATAAAGAGAGAGAAAGAAGAGAGGAAGAAAGAAAGAGAGAGAGGAAAAAGGAAAGAGCGAGAAAGAAAGAGAGAGAGAAACAGAGAGAAAGAAAGATAGAAAGAGAAAGAAAGAGAGGGAGAGAGAAATGTCACTAACAGCATGAATACTTCTTACAAAGAAAGACATTTGAAACGAAATCAACATTGGCCGCAAGTATGAATATCCAATCACTTCCTGGAAAAATTTCAAATACTTGCAGAAAATAGAAGCACACACTGGCATCTGTCCTACAACCATCTTAATGATATTAAAAAGAGTATTCTTGGTGCCTGCAAAAGCCCAAAAGACTAAAGAGAAGAAGAGTTTATTGCCTGTCAAAGTCAACAAATATAGAAGGATGTATGACATATGTCCATAGGACTCAGCAGTAAAAGTCTATCAGTAGGTCCCAGAAGTATGGCAAAATACCTTCTCATTATTAATATTTTAAGAATTTCCATAATACCAATCATGTAACTGTGCTTCTGGAAATGTAGTTGTTATTAATTTTGCCTATTTCTCATTCACTCAACCTTTTTCTTCCCATTTGAATCATAATTTCCTTTTTTCTTCCAGAACCAAATTCGATTAATATGGAAATTTACTTAGACGCCAGGAAATCGCATGGGCACTTGTTTTGTAGCTGCTGATGGGGTTTCTTCAGCCAAAAGAAATTTTATTGTCCATTTCAGTGTGACCCTCCCATTATCATTTTTATCATTAACCTAACCAAATTTATTGAGCTTTTTCCTCTCAGAAGAAAACAGAACTTTAGCAGTTACTCAATAATTATTGAAAGGACATTGAGAAAGTTAAATACACAAACAAAATATGGAAATTTATATTGTGCAGAAAATATGCTTCAATAGAAATAAAAATATTTGTATGCCACTTTCATGTCCTATTAATTTACTAAGCAGAAAGCCATTTGTGTCTGAGATTGTGCAGGTCATTTACCTTTTCGTTGGCTTGTGCAGGTACAGTTGCTATAGACATAATTTGATTTAAACCCTGAATAGAAACAAATAGATTTATTAAAATGTGATGTATATCATAATAACTACATAACAATATACAATACTATTTTTCTAAAGTTTACCTGTTGTTGAGATGTTGGGAGATCATTTTCTACAGATCCCAATTGACCTAATACCTGCAATGAAAACAAAACGTTTATTTAGTCTGATCAGATGCAATTTTCAGACTCAGGAATGTACAACACTATTTTCTTAAAGTTTATAAGTTACATTTCTGCTTTTCATGGGAGTAGTCAATGGATTCTGTTTCCAATGAATTTTTGGTCTTCTGTGTACATTATGTGCTAAGCTACTCAACATATTTCAACAAAACTTTGGAAACTACTAGTGAACAAACTGGAACTTTGTACATTTACACAAGTTGACCGGAAGTGAGTTTTGTCAATAAGAAATTACAAGACATATTTTTACTAGTTTTTAAAGATTTTGATTTTAAAACTGTAGGTTGTCAATGTCATTCAGCCTTGAGCCCATTTGTACAGTTTAATGGCTATTTTATCGCAATAGTATTTACTAGTGGTCTGTAGCAGCAAAAAATGCTGCTAAACAAAACCACACAAAATGGTTTTTCAACAAGTACCAGGCACACAGCTTAAGAACACAAATAACATACAACATGAATAATGTAATGAATCCATTTAGGTATATGACTAGAGTCTACTAAACTATGGTAAACAATAGCTTCATAGGCCCAATGGCTATCTCATGAGTCCGACAGGACAAAACGTTTATGCTAATTGCTCTCTCTAAGCCCTAATAGGACTCACACTGTACCACAACCACACGTTCAGACAGGACTGGCGTATAGCTAAAGGTTGCTTCATCAAGATGAAGCAAAGATGTTCATACGCTCTTCAGATTTTTTCAGAGCATTCGCTCTTTTCAGACCACACACAAGTTGGCGATATTACTGGATAGCTGCAGTTTTGCCTAGTATTCAGCTCTTCAAATGCGGACAAACAGCATGTCTATAGCATTAATATAGTGCAGTGATATATTACAGAAAATATATCACTGGAAATGGATGGATTCCGTGATGATGGAAATATTGGACTTGTAGTAGAAAATCAACAACCAGAAGTTGTCAAAACATTGTGGTGAGTACATATGAGAAAAGAATTAGTCAGAACGTCATGGTCATTAGATGCAAATGAGAAATTATCTGAGTGTTTTGAGAACAGATGTGAATTATATTGAAATGCTCTCGAGATTAAATATATGCTTATGGAGATATTAAACCTCACATCACAAATCATCATCAGACATCACCAAAGTATGATTGGTAAAGTTTAAAATAATCGAAAAAGACTGAAGGTACAAGAAGGAATGAACAGAAAGCTACAACTTGGAGTTAACAAACCTCAAAATATTTAAAAGCTGTGAATAGGCTTTTCAATAAAAAACAAAATGAAACTACTCTTAACTATTTGAATATATAACGAGAATTCAGTTGTATATGTAGTATAAGAAAAGGCAGAATAACACAATAAAAATGTTGCAATTTCCAGTCAAAATCAAAACTTTCATTGCTTTTAGATTTTTCCTAACTTTCTGGATGTGTAAAACCACAGTTTCCTCTCACATGGAAGGAGGCTGCACAGTTCTCTTTCAATTTTTGCATGCATTGAAAATTAGTAGGATATTTTATTATATCAGGAATTTTTGAGTTCAAATCCATTAATTCATATTTTATTTTTGTATTGAATATTTCAATATTTGATAGTAAGCAATTGAGTTTTCTGTTCACTTAAACATAATAAGGAGTTGAAAGAAATTATTGTGAGATAGAAATTTTTTCCTGTATCAGTAGATTTCAAAACACTGTAAGAGATCCAGTTTTCAATGAATTCTCATAAAACTCAAACAAATAAATAAATAAAAATTTTAAAAATGTTTATTTGATTTTGTGATTTTTTTCTATATCTTTTTTTCTGTGTTTGGGTAATTGTCTACATTGAAACACAAATAAATAAACAAATAAATAATAATTCTCTGGTTTGAAAATGCCAATAAAAATGGAAAGGTTTCAATTGCAATGGTTGGACCAAAAATATATTGTCTATGGAAACCTCTGAAATTTCTGAAGAGGTTGATGCAGACTGAGTTCAAATACCATCTGAAAAGCTTGAACATGTGAACAAGTACAACAACACAGGAAATCAATGAGTCTTTGAACAGTGATATTTGATCATGTAAACAAAATATGTTTTTTGTCCGGCTATCCTCATAACAAATTGGTATACATGATGCAGGAGGCTGATTCAATGAAAGGAATATTGGAAGATGAAAGATGTTGCATCATCTTGGAATTTGGAAAAAAAAAGTTTACTGAGATTATTTACAAAAAGATATCAGAATAAATAAAGCAGAAAAGAATGAGGAAAAAAGCTTCAAAATCTGATAGTCAAAAAACCTCTTAGGCTCAGAAATGTGTGGAGAAAAATATAAGAATGAAAAAGATCCAATGATGCTGGTCTTTTCTGTGGTATTGATTAATCATAAAAATGTATGAATGCTTATATAATATAATAAATCATTTGAATGATATTTGCAACATTTATTGCACACACAAAAATATAATTATTGTGGATGACTGCTAAATGAAAATAATCAAGAGGGGCTCATACAGACAAGAGGAGGCACCTCTTCAGAGGACTTCCTTCTCTTTATTCAAAATATTTAGGCTCTTGTCTTTGTCTCACATACAAGTTGTTTGTTTTTTCTCTCTCTCTTTTCTTTTTATTCTGTGCCAATTTTGTTTAACATCAAAAAATGAAATGATTTTTTTGGGGTCATATTTCATTGACAATACCCTGTAATGCCAAGCAGAAAGATAAACATACTTTATTTAAGGTTATTTCATGCCTTCTTAGCTAAAATTAATCATATTGCTCTAACCTTTACCTCCTGTGGTTGTGCAGGTTTAGGTGCTATAGATATCAGTCGCCCTGAACCCTGAACAGAGTCAAATACACAGATTATTAACAAACGATATCATTTTATAACATGACACAAAGCTATTTTCGTAGTTTACCTGATTTGTTGTTGGCAGTTGTTGCTGTTGGCAGTTGATGCTGGCAGTTGCAGGCATGATTTGACCTATTCTCTGTAAGAAATACAAATTCTTTGTTTAGTTTCATATATACGAGATATTGCAATACATCAAAATATATTCCAAATGTTTTACCTGTTCTTGGGTTTGTGATCCTAAGGCTATTGCATGACCCATTACTATCTGTGTGAAGAAAAAAAGAATTACAAAAAATGTGATTTCACAGTTTTATTAGTAAAACATAACCATGCATTAATTTACCTGACGATGGGTTTGCCCACGCACAGAGCTCCGAGAGTTCACAGAATTCTGAAAGTAAACAAAGTCATTTTTTAAACTGATAGGCTGTCTTGCCAAAATTTCTACTTTTAAAAGTGTTCAAAAAAATATATTTGTTCTTTCAGTTTACCTCTTGTTGATTAGATGTATTTAAAGTTCTAATAGTCAACAATGGACCCAGCTTCTGTAATGCAAGAAAACTACTTTTTACAATATTACTGTCATGTCATTATTTCATACTGAGCACCAAACAAATCATAATAGTATTTTTTAGATGGCCACACATTAAAACAAATATAAACATAAATGGGGATACACTAAAAGTAAACTGACATTAAAAAGTTAAAACACTAAGGCTAAAAGTGAAAGCCACTTAGTTTAAATTGAGAACCACATATGGCTAGCCTAGAACTAAAGCGGTCTATTGTACAAATCACATATAACTTTTAGACCACTTACGAACTGACTAAAAATAAAAACACATGCAAAAGTGGTACTTTTATTATTCGGCACCTACAACAAAAAATTACACCTAGCCCACTTTAGAATGTACAGATGCTCATCTATTCAAATCAAATTTACTATAACCTAGATTTTAGCCAAAATATTTCATAGACCACTTTGGTTCCAGGCCATTTCGTTGAGAGTGTTTTTATTCTTTAATTATATTTAGATATTTGATGACTTTCACTCATAATTTTCAATTTTTGGCTCTACTTTTTTTTAAAAAAATACTATAACCATTTACATACTATACCATAACCATACTATAACATTACCCACATCAAGCAAATTAGATCAAAAGGATGATTCCAAGGCATAAAATAGAAATAGGAAAATATATTAATTCTTTGTACAAGCATTAAGGGATCATATTGGCTGTATGCCAATATTGGGTGATATGGGTTACAGCAAAATATAAATATATCATGACCCAGCAAAGGAATCTGTTGGTTTATTTGTTTATTTGCCTTGGCTTACCACAATTTTCTGCAAACTTCAGTTTCTGAAACGCCTATTAACAAATTACAAGAACCAAAAACATGCTGAAAGGAAAATATGAAGTTAATTAAAACTACGGGAGTTGTGCAGTGCATGTATTTTTCTTAAATTAATAAACAGAAACAACATTTTCAACAATGTTGTTACATAGCATATGACTACGAAAGTTCTCATAACATTCTCACTTATAATATTTATCAATATTTTTAATTGCTCCTTCCTAACAAAATTTCTACTAACCTTCACGTTACATATGGCTTGCTCTAACTTACTAGCTCTTTTTATCAGTATCTCTTTCACCTTTTTTTCAAAACAACACAAAAACCCTTGTTTTGTCATTTGTCTACGTTTTTGCAAAGCAATTTTTTTAAGGGTTAAGTAATACATAAACAATAACTCCATAAATAATTTACAGTATTTATCCCCTTGTGCAATATTTTCCTTACCAAATTTTCTATGGAATTATATCAATGAAAGTTTTTCCTCTGTTCAGATCTCTTATGTGACAATATAAAATTTCACCTTCACAAGAAAAGCATTCGCTTTTCTAATTTTATGTATCAAGTTGCTACTCATTTCACGCAAAATAAAGGTGACAGAGAATGTGAACAAATGTTTTCCATGGTTTATTTCTCTCATGTCACAATATAAAGTGTCATAATATTGGTTTTGACTAAAAAAATTCATTTCAATAAGGAATATAAAAGTTATGTCAATTTTTTTATTTATTTTAATGCGTGTCATAATGAATGTAGGGGTTAAGGATGTTACTGTGTATTCTAAACAAGAATTAATGTAACAGTTCATTGCAAAATTTATAGCAAGTGGAAAATACACTTCAATACAAATAGAATACTTTTATGTCACTGAGGCATCATATTCGCATACATAGCAGAGTACAATTTCCCAAACCTTTACATGTGGCTGAGTTTGTGTGGATTATTTACCTGTTGTTTGGGTTGTGCAGGTACAGTTGCTACAGATATCATTCCATTTAAACCCTGGACAGAAACAAATAGAAGATTTATTAATACGTTTGGTACAGAATAATAGCTACACAATGTTATTTTTCTTAAGTTCACCTGTAGTTGAGTTGCTGGAGATTCATTTGTTACAGAAATTATTTGACTTAATCCCTGCAATGAAAATTAAAACATTATTTAGTCCGACCATATACAATTTTAAAACAGATATTACAAACAATTAATAATAGACAAGACAAATTATTGCAGAGAATAAACAATGACAGTGCAACTTGCACAACTTTTAAATGTACAGCAGGACAATTATCCACCATTCAGCAAGATTTCTTATTACCAAAGCATAGTAGTCTTTACATTGTTATTTGAACCACTTGTTTTCAACCAACCATTTCTTTTATCGCTTTGATGTCACTTCTTACCAAGTCAAACATCGAGCAGCCTTAATAATTAATTAATTATTTATTTGTTTCTTTCTACCTTTCTTTCTTTCTTTATTTATTTATTTATTAATGGCAGCAACAAGCTGTTGTACACTTATCTTACAATGGTGTAACAGACTTCACAATGATTCAGAATGGAGACTGTTGTCAAATGTCACCACTTTGATCCTGCTATATGCAGCTCCAATACCAGCAGTAGTGATAAATACAGTGTTGAACACTTAGGGTGGCTCGAGCTTTCCGCACTGTCTCGTATGATGCAGTGTGTGTAGTGACAGACATGCCTCCAATTAAGCTCCCATTGGCAGAATGACACAGGCTCTACCAACGTGGCAGACAGAACAAAGGAAGGGAAGTCCTGACAGGCCATGCAGAAGAGAAACTCGAGTCTATGTTTTAGTGGCAGAGACTATACAACAGCTCATGCATAGGTACTCACAGTTCCCCAGTAGTAGATGATGCAGAACATGTTTTCTTTGTCTGTCATTGGTTTGACCAAGAGAGGACACAGTGGCCCAAATAATACAGGAGCTGAGACTTGAGGTGCGGGAGACAAAGGCATTTTAGAATGATGCCAAGAGGTTAGAGGGGTCTATTCACCCACATGAAGTAATGCCTACAGACAGTGTGGGGGTGGAGTGGTGACTAAGAATCTCACACATGTGAAGTATGAGCCATATGGTGTCTTTTGAATGTTTCATAACATAATCGCATTTAATATCATTTAGATAATAACAAAATTATGACTACCCAGGCTATTCTTCGAGGGATTCAGTTTCCTTTTGAATGCAGTCTTCCGATTTGCCCTAGTGATTTGCCTCAGTGAAAGGAGATGCAAAAACTAAAGGAACATGCAATGTATATGGATGTCTACAAAGTGGATTTCGGAATTGTGTTCAAATGTGTTTCTAATGCTAATTTTTAAATATAATTAGAAGCAGACATTCCATTTCAGAAACTAATTCTATTAACACTTCTCTTCGAAAAGGAACTGAGCGATTTAGTGAGAGTAAAGTACATTATGATGGATAGGATGATAGGATACTCTG